GGTGGTTTTCCCAAAAGGGGGTGGGTCAAGGGGGTTTGATGTCAAGGGAGGTGGTGTAAAAGGGAGGTGGTGCCAAGGGGAAGGGGGTGTAAAAGGGAGGGGGGGCCCAAGGGGAGGGGGTTTTAAAGGGGAGGTGATGTAAAGGGGAAGGTTGGGGTTTCCCAAGGGAGGGGTGTCAAGGGGGGGTGGTGTAAAGGGGAGGTGGTGTCCCCGGGGGGTGGTGCCCAAGGGAGGTGGGGGTAAAGGGGGGTGGTGTAAAGGGGAGGGGGTGGTCAAGGGGGGTTGGTGTAAAAGGGGAAAGGGTTGGGGTTCAAGGGAGGGGTGTAAAGGGGCAGGGGGTGTCAAGGGAGGTGGTGTAAAGGGGAGGGGTTGTCAAGGGGGGTGAAGCCCAAGGGGGGTGGGGGGGGTGCCCAAGGGAGGGGGGAGTCAAGGGAGGTGGTGCCCAAAGGGAGGTGGTTTTAAAGGGAGGGGTGAAAAGGGGAGGTGGTGCCCAAGGGAAAAGGTGGGTCAAGGGAGGGGTGTCAAGGGAGGTGGTGTCAAGGGAGGGGGGGGGGAAGGGGGGGGTCAAGGGGGGTTTGGGTCAAGGGAGGTGGTGTAAAGGGGAATTTGGTGTCAAGGGAGGGGTGTAAAGGGGGAGGTGGTGTAAAGGGGAGGGGGTTTGTCAAGGGAGGGGGTTTCCTGGGGAGGGGGTGTCATGTTCTGGCGGGGATGATCGCGGGAGGTTTTAAATGAAAGGGAAGACAATACCAGAAAGTTGTCCAAAAAAGGAAACACTAAAGAATAATGTTTTTACATCAACAGTAGCCCCAAAGAACTACTGAAATTATACACAATCTAAAAACTACTTAATGTAGTACTTAGAAACTACTGTATTTTAAACAGTATTATATATCTGAATGCCGCCTCACCCCAAAACACACACACACACACACACACAACACACAAAAACAACACAACACACAAAGCCATGGTTCAGGGGAAGGACCCAATAGTAAACCCGGGTGAAAGGCGGGGCCAGGAGTTTGGGACTCAAACCCCCCGAAACCCCTCAACTAGGTGAGAAAAACACACTACCAAGGTTGCCAAAAAAGACCTACATAGCGGGTTCCCTTTTCCCTCATCATGGTGGATTTTAACCATAAGAAACTGACAAAGGAAAACCCTGGGGGCCCACATGGGGACCAGAGATGGGAGAGCGAAGAAAGGGGAAAACTTCATGTATTTAAAGTGATCTAAAACCCCGGGGCCGCGGGGGGTTAAACCCCCCCAAAACACTTTTTCAGGTAAACCCCCAGGTAACCAAAATTTAGGGCCAAAACCCCGAGGGGAAGGAGTTTGATGAACCAGCAATCTGGACCCTTTTTCCCCTTAAAACATTAAAACATAAAAAATCTCACACCCCAAAAGGGGCCCCATGGGTGCTAAAAATCCACGTGGTCTTGGGGGGGGGGTTTAAAATACATTGAAAGATTAACAAGGTTTTTGAAGCATTTAACAAAAAGGTGGGAGGAGCCAAACTTCCAAAAAAGGACTACACAAAATTTTGAGGCAATTGCTACAGAGGTGCAGTGGGTAAGTGAGGGTAAAACAAAAATTGGGGACCACAAAGGGCAGGGAGGCAGGGAGAAGTTCGAAACCCAAAGGGGGGGAAATAAAACAAAAAGAAGACCCAAAAGAAAAACCCATAGTTTACCAGAAGGTAGAAAAAGGGGCCAAACCCCAAGTGGGCTAGAGCAAAAGGGAAAAAAGGGAAAGGGGAAAAGGACCCAGATAAAAGGGAAATTGAGCAAAAGAGCCAGAAATGGGAAAATGGGAGGATAAGGGAGAGAAAAACCCACGTCAAAAACGAGAATCACAAGCAAACAAAGTCCAAATCTGACCCACCGTTGTTATACAAACCACATCAGGGGGAAAAAAAAAGTCAAGGACCAGGTAATCTGGCTGAGGAAGGGAAAGGAAAAAAAGCCACGGGGGGTGACCAGGAAATGAATAATGAAACTCAGCTCATTATTCAGAAGAGGATTTTACAGTAAAAAAGAGAGGCTTCCCCAAAAACCGGGTTTTGTCCCTGTGTCCGCAATTGCCCGGACACACTCCAAACAACCGGGAGGGGGGAAAAACTACTAGGGAAACTAATACCTCGAAAAGGGGGTGGGGCCCAAAATAACTCCCTTCGGGCCAAAAAGAGGGAGCAAAATACACCCGTGTGCCACTAACAAAAAGACTTCAAAAACTATTTAAACCCGGGGGAAAATTTCCTGAGGTGTGGAAGACCAAAACAAATGTATCCCCATTTTTTTAAAAAAAGGAACAGACAGGCTAAAACTAAATTACAGACCAATTTCACTGACATTATAGTTTTGTAAAGTTAAAGGAGAAGTTTTTCAGGAGAAGAGGGTGGAAAAACCAAGGGAAAAAGGGAAAGGATTCACACATGGCAATCAGTAAAAGCTTTGGGGGAAAGGGGAAAACCTGCTTCACAGTCCTATTTGAGCTCTTTTACAACGTAAAAAAAAGTAAGACGGAAAGAAAGGATGGGTAGACGCATCTTCTTGGATTGAAAGAAGGCTTTTTGAAAAGTTTCCAAAACAAAGAGCTGCTCGAAAAAGCTAGATGAGCAGGCAGAAAAAGGGAAAGGGAAAGTACTGCAGTGGATCAGGGGAAAAACCTGACGGGGAAGGGGGTTAATTTGGTGAAAAGTGCGGAGGGGGTTCCATATTGGGCAGTATAGGTCCGGGGCTGTTTTTGTATATGTGAATTAAATGAAAAGGGGAAAGGGTAGATTTTAGTGTCCCCCCTTCTAGACGGGCTGAAGCTTAAAAGAGAAGAATACAAGTTGACGAGGAACAAATTAAAATTACAAGGGGAAAATAGACAGGCTGCAAAACCTGGTCCAACCCAAAAGGCTCCTGGATTTTAAAACCCCCCGCAAGTGCAAATTACGAAGCTTGGGGAGGACGAAAAAGCAGAACAAAGGGGACGCCAAGGGGCAGAGGTGCAAAACTCCCAAAAAAACCCCAAGGGAAAAGGGGTCTTGAGGTGAGTATCATATTTTCCGGGGCATACCCTGAGAGGCCCTATCAAAAAAAAAAAATTGGTTTCAGCATACGGGCGCTTTGGGAAACCCCGAGAATAGCGTTAAAGACTTTCTGAGTAAAAAATCATTCACGATACTGTACACCGTATACGTCATGCCCCCTGTTTTGGAGTACGTAGCACCACACGGAACCCACACCCCGGGCAAAAAAAAACAATTTTTTTAAAAGAAAATGCAAAAATTTTTCCACAAGAATAGTCCCCCAGCTGAAAGGAAAAAAATTATCCTACGAGGGGAGGGGTTAAAAAGGGGGCTCAGTCTGACAGCACTGGAAAGGGCCCGGAGGGGGAAAGGGAAATTTTCCCAAAGGGGGATTTGGGACAGAAATTTACCCCAAAATTTAAAAGGGGCCACAATTGGGAAATTTTAAAACTCAGATAATCACAGGGGTGTTTGGGAAAATACTACTTCAGTTTAAAAATTGTCAGGGTTTGGACCAATCTGAAGTGACGTAGTGGAGGAAAGGGCCATAATACCTTAAAGGGGGAAACTAAAAATTATGGGGACCAAAAGGGGAAAAGTGGGCTTATAGCGACCAAAGGGAAAGGCGTTGCCAGGGAAACTTTGACCTTTGACTGCAATTACGTAGGGAAACAAAACTAATATAGCTACCGGCAAAGAGGCAGGACCAGGAGCTGTGAGTCGACCCCTGCAACCACAAATGGTGAATACACACACTTCGCACACACATACACATAAAACTCTCCGGGAATTTTGGGGGGCGTATAATTTTAGGGTCAGATTATCTGTGAAATTTTGAAGGTCGGGGGCCCACCTCCTGAGTATCCCAAGGTTTCCGGGACCCGAAACCCCGGGGTACTTCCCCAAGGGGGCCCGGGCCCCGAAACCCCCAAACACTCCTAAAAGGCGGGGACCCGACCCTTTCCCGATACTCCTAAAGGGTCGGGGACCCGACCTCCTGAGTACTCCTAAGGGTCGGGGACCCACCTCCTAGCACCCCTGAGGTCGGGGTAAAAATTAACCCCCAAATGGGGGAAAAAGGAAAAACCCCGGGGGGAATGAAGACCAATAAATATATAATTATTAATTCCAAAAAACTTTTAAAATTTTGATTAAATTTCCCCAAAAACCCAATAAAAATTTTTTTTGCAATGAAATTCCTTTATGAATTTTTATTTTAATTTTTTTTTTGTTGTGGGTTTTTAAATTTTTGGGGTTGATTTTTGTTATTTTTTTATTGTGTTTTTAAATTTTTTGTTTTTTTTAACGCTGGTTTTATGGTTTTATAATAAAAAATTTTTCAGCTTGTATCATTGGGAAATTTTTCACTTTAAAAAGAATTAATAAATTTTTGCCCTTTTAGGTTTTTCCCGGTTTTTCCAATTCTGTTTAAATTTCAAAATAAATTTTGGAAAATTTTGCCTTTACACAAATTTTTTTTGGGGTAATAACCCCCTCCCCCCCCCCCCAAAAAAAAAAAATCTGGCCGACCTCTGGTGTACAAACTGAATTGTCTTTGGGTAGGGTCCCCAGATGCAAGGGTCCCACCCCGGAAATTTTTTAAAAATTTATAATTGGGTGATAATTTACTGGGTTTTTCCCAAACACGCCAAACATTAAAAACTGGGTCTTTTAACTATCCCTTTTTTAAATTCCTTTGTGAGAAAGTTATTGACCTCTTCTTTTGGGCTTGAATAATACCTTTTTAAAACTGCGCGTGAGATATAAAATATTGTGGGCCCTTTTCTTTCTGCTGCTGGGTACTTTTACTGCTACTGCTTTCCCCGCTACTGCCTTTCGTTACTGCTGCTGCGGGGGAAAGGGTGACGGGGTGCTGGAAAACTTGCGTGTCGGGGACAGGGGGGGGGGATGGCAAGGAGTGAAAAACTTCTGGCCCCCTGCGCTGAGGGGTTTTCCCTTGCAACTGCGGCTCCTGCGGGAGGCTTCCTGCGGTGGTCGTAGCCTTTGAGCTGCATTCTCATCTCCGGATCCGCGCTGCGCTACTCATCTTACAACGACGATTCGGAACACCACATGACAACTCCCCGGCTGACAACCAACTGTCCGTGGTTAGTAGTACTGTTGTTACTGTGGTTAGTAGTACTGGTTGTTACTGTGGGTTACTAATAACGGTTGTTACTGTGGTTAGTAATACTGGTTGTTACAATGGTTAGTAGTACTGGTTGTTACTGTGGTTAGTAGTACTGGTTGTTACTGTGGTTAGTAGTACTGGTTGTTACTGTGGTTAGTAATACTGGTTGTTACTATGGTTAGTAGTACTGGTTGTTACTATGGTTAGTAGTATTGGTTGTTACTGTGGTTAGTAGTACTGGTTGTTACTCTGGTTAGTAGTACTGGTTGTTACTCTGGTTAGTAGTACTGGTTGTTACTGTGGTTAGTAGTACTGGTTGTTACTGTGGTTAGTAGTACTGGTTGTTACTATGGTTAGTAGTACTGGTTGTTACTGTTGTTAATAGTACTAGGTGTTACTGTGGTTAGTAGTACTGGTTGTTACTGTGGTTAGTAGTACTGGTTGTTACTGTGGTTAGTAGTACTGGTTGTTACTGTTGTTACTGGTACTGGTTGTTACTGTGGTTAGTAGTACTGGTTGTTACTGTGGTTAGTAGTACTGGTTGTTACTATGGTTAGTAGTACTGGTTGTTACTATGGTTAGTAGTACTGGTTGTTACTGTTGTTAGTAGTACTGAGTGTTACTGTGGTTAGTAGTACTGATTGTTACTGTGGTTAGTTTTACTGGTTGTTACTATGGTTAGTAGTACTGGTTGTTACTGTTGTTAGTAGTACTGGTTGTTACTGTTGTTACTGGTACTGGTTGTTACTGTGGTTAGTAGTACTGGTTGTTACTATGGTTAGTAGTACTAGTTGTTACTGTTGTTAGTAGTACTGGTTGTTACTGTTGTTAGTAGTACTGAGTGTTACTGTGGTTAGTAGTACTGGTTGTTACTGTTGTTAGTAGTACTGAGTGTTACTGTGGTTAGTAGTACTGGTTGTTACTGTGGTTAGTAGTACTGGTTGTTAATATGGTTAGTAGTACTGGTTGTTACTGTTGTTAGTAGTACTGGGTGTTACTGTTGTTAGTAGTACTGGTTGTTACTGTTGTTACTGGTACTGGTTGTTACTGTGGTTAGTAGTACTGGTTGTACTGTGGTTAGTAGTACTGGTTGTTACATAGGTTAGTAGTACTGGTTGTTACTGTTGTTACTAGTACTGATTGTTACTGTGGTTAGTAGTACTGGTTGTTACGTGGTTAGTAGTACTGGGTTGTTACTATGGTAGTAGTACTGGTTGTTACTGTTGTTAGTAGTACTGGTTGTTACTGTTGTTACTAGTACTGGTTGTTACTCTGGTTATTAGTACTGGTTGTTACTGTTGTTAGTGGTACTGGTTATTACTATGGTTAGTAATACTGGCTGCTACTGCTGTTAGTAGTACTAGTTACTGTTGTTAGTAGTACTGAGTGTTACTGTTGTTACTAGTACTGGTTGTTACTGTGGTTAGTAGTGCTAGTTGTTACTGTTGTTAATAGTACTGGTTGTTAGTGCTAGTAGTACTGGTTGTTGCTGTGGTTTGTAGTATCGGTTGTTACTGTTGTCAGTAGTACTGGTTGTTGCTGTGGTTAGTAGTACTGGTTGTTACTGTGGTTAGCAGTATTGGTTGTTACTGTGGTTAGTAGTATTGTTGTTACAGTGGTTAGTAGTATTGGTGGTACAGTGCATGGTAGTGATGATAGTTACTGTCCATGTAAGTACTTGTAGGTACTGTGCATTGTAGTGATGGTAGTTACTGTCCATGGAAGTACTGGTAGGCACTGTGCATGGTAGTGATGGTAATTACTGTTCATGTAAGTACTTTTAGGTACTGTGCATTGTAGTGATGGTAGTTACTGTCCATGGAAGTACTGATAGGTACCGTGCATAGTAGTGATGATAGGTACTGTGCATGGCAGTGATGGCATTTACTGTGCATGGTAGTGATAGCAGGTATTTTGCATGGTAGTGATGGTAGGTACTGTGCATGGCAGCGATGGTAGCTACTGTGCATGGTAGTGATAGGTACTGTTCATGGTAGTGATGGTAGGTACTGTGCATGGTAGTGATAGTAGGTACTGTGCATGGTAGTGATGATAAGTAGTGCATATTTTAGTGATGGTAGGTACTGTGCATAGTAGTGATGGTAGGTACTGTACATGGTAGTGATGGTAGCTACTGTGCATGATAGTGATGGTAGGTACTGTGCATCGTAGTGATGGTAGGTACTGTGCATCGTAATAATGGTAGGTACTGTGCATCGTAGTAATGGTAGGTACTGTGCATGATAGTGATGGCAGGTACTGTGCATGGCAGTGATGGCGGGTACTGTGAATGGTAGTGATGGCGGCACTGTGTATGGTAGTGATGGTAGCTGCTGTGCATGGTAGTGATGGTAGCTACTGTGCATGATAGTGATGGCGGGTACTGTGTATGGTAGTGATGGCGGGTACTGTGTATGGTAGTGATGGCGGGTACTGTGTATGGTAGTGATGGTAGCTACTGTGCATGGTAGTGATGGTAGCTACTGTGCATGATAGTGATGGCGGGTACTGTGCATGGTAGTGATGGTAGCTACTGTGCATGGTAGTGATGGTAGCTACTGTGCATGGTAGTGATGGTAGCTACTGTGCATGGTAGTGATGGTAGGTACTGTGCATGGTAGTGATGGTAGCTACTGTGCATGGTAGTGATGGTAGCTACTGTGCATGGTAGTGATGGTAGCTACTGTGCATGGTAGTGATGGCAGGTACTGTGGCATGGTAGTACTGGATGAAGTCACTCAGATGAATAACTGCCGAGAACGACACAATGTCTTGTTATGAGTAGTTTCCAACCAGGCTTGCTGGCTTGCTGGCTTGCTGGCTTGCTGGCTGGCTTGCTGGCTTGCTGGCTTGCTGGCTTGCTGGCTTGCTTGCTGGCTTGCTGGCTTGCTGGCTTGCTGGCTGGCTTGCTGGCTTGCTGGCTTGCTGGCTGGCTTGCTGGCTTGCTGGCTTGCTGGCTGGCTTGCTGGCTGGCTTGCTTGCTGGCTTGCTTGCTGGCTTGCTGCTGGCTTGCTGGCTTGCTGGCTTTCTGGCTTGCTGGCTGGCTTGCTGGCTTGCTGCTTGCTGGCTGCTGTGCTGGCTTGCTGGCTTGCTGGTTTTGCTGGCTTGCTGGCTGGCTTGCTGGCTGGACGCTTGCTGGCTGGATGGCTTGCTGGCTGGATGGCTGGATGGCTTGCTGGCTTGCTTGCTGGCTTGCTGGCTTGCTGGCTTGCTGGCTTGCTTGCTTGCTTGCTTGCTGGCTTGCTTACTGGCTTGCTGGCTTGCTGGCTGGCTTGCTGGCTTGCTGGCTTGCTGGCTTGCTGGCTGGCTTGATGGCTTGCTGGCTTGCTGGCTTGCTGGTTTGCTGGCTTGCTGGGCTGCTTGCTGGCTGAGGCTGGCTTGCTGGCTTGCTGGCTTGCTGGCTAGCTTGCTGGCTTGCTGGCTGGCTTCCTGGCTTGCTGGTTGGCTTGCTGGCTTGCTGGCTTGCTGGCTGGCTTGCTGGCTTGCTGGCTGGCTTCTGGCTTGCTGGCTTGCTGGCTTGCTGGCTTGCTGGCTGGCTTGCTGGCTTGCTGGCTGGATGGCTTGCTGGCTGGATGGCTTGCTGGCTGGATGGCTGGATGGCTTTCTGGCTTGCTTGCTGGCTTGCTGGCTTGCTGGCTTGCTTGCTTGCTTGCTTGCTGGCTTGCTTACTGGCTTGCTGGCTTGCTGGCTGGCTTGCTGGCTTGCTGGCTTGCTTGCTGGGCTTGCTTGCTGGCTTGCTGGCTTGATGGCTTGCTGGCTTGATTGCTGGCTTGCTGGCTTGCTGGCTTGCTGGCTTGCTTGCTGGCTTGCTTGCTGGCTTGCTGGCTTGCTTGCTGGCTTGCTGGCTTGCTGGCTTGATGGCTTGCTGGCTTGATTGCTGGCTTGCTGGCTTGCTGGCTGGATGGCTTGCTGGCTGGATGGCTTGCTGGCTGGATGGCTTGATGGCTTGCTGGTTGCTGGCTGGATGACTTGCTGGCTTGCTTGCTGGCTTGCTGGCTTGCTGGTTTGCTTGCTGGCTTGCTTGCTGGCTTGTTTGCTGGCTTGCTGACTTGCTTGCTGGCTTGCTGACTTGCTTGCTGGCTGGTTTGCTTGCTTGCTTGCTTGCTGGCTTGCTGGCTTGCTTGCTGGCTTGCTTGCTGGCTTGCTTGCTGGCTTGCTTGCTGGATGTTGGCTTGCTGGTTTTCTTGTTTGCTTGCATGCTTGCTTGTTTGCTTGCTTGCTTGTTGGCTTGCTGGCTTGTTGGATCAACTGTAACCCACAGTGTGTGGCTATGTATTTTTCTCGTCTCTCACCATTATTAGAGATGTTCATTTTACCAATAATTTAAGCAGCAAGACGGAAGACTCTCATTCTTATTTCAAATAAATTTGAATGTTGAAAGAAAATTTCCTGTTAACATGATGGTGGATGTTTCCCATTTTCCTTCATGAAAAAACTGTTTGACAGCTGTAAGTGTTCCGTTTTTTCTGATCACTTACGCAAAAAAAAATAGATTTTAGATAGCTGTTTATACGGCTATTAAAAGTTTATATCTTTCCCTGGTAACTTGAGCTTTTTCCTAAACATCGGTGCTCAGCTTCCTTGATGGATAAAATAGTAAGGTGGTAGTGTCCTTGATCAATAAAAACTGTTGTTCTCCTAGGTGTCGACACAGAAGAGGTTCTCGCGGAGGAAGGGAGTTCTTAAGCCTAGCCAATGGTCACACTTGGGACTTTTACATCAACGCTCTTCCACAGCTTTCTTGGTGGCCCTCAAACACTACCTAACTCGTGAATACTCCAGTGACCATAGCTTCTACACGGCCCCTGATTCCTCCAACATTCACGGAGCTTCTGGCTATACAGACGTCCATGGTCTCTCCAACACTCTGGGCTCACAAAACAAATTTATTGACTCCTCCAACAGCGGCTCCCTTGATGTCAGTTCTTCGAGAAACTTCGACTTTCAGAAAGACCTTGAATGCTTCAATTCTTCAGGTGGTTTTCATTGTTTTAACCGCAAGAAGAACACCGTCAATTAGGCAGATATCTTCGACGCTGATAGATCCATCAATCGTCTAGGCAGGGATGGATCCATTAATAATTCATCTCTCAAAGAATTTCCCAGCTACTGGCCATCACAAGGATTTCACAGCATGAAAGGATTTTGGATTTAAAGCTTACTTATTTAAAGCTTCATTACCTTTGATCACGCCTTCAACCTCTCTAACAACTTTCAAGCCATCAAACGACCCACCCAGCCTTTAAAAACGACCAAAGAGCCTCTCCACTGATTTACCAACGACCAGTTCAACCTCTCCAGTGACTCCTCCATTTTCAACAACCGCTCCAGCTTTAACAACGACCCTTACATCTTCCAAAACTACCCATACAGCTTCTCCAACGACCCCTTTAATTCTCATCAGCCTAGGTACTTTCACAGCCTACAAAGGCTTATCTCTTGCTTCCCAATTTACTTCTCCAACCATATTTATTCCGAAAAGAAAATAAATCTTCCATTACCGAAGATGTATAAGAAGATAAACCAAGAGAAGACAAAGAAATCCAGGTTCCAGGTTCCAGGTTCCATATTTAACCAAACACTCGACCATGATAATGATGATGATGATAATACTAGAAAGGCTATTTTTTATAAGTAGAAATTATTTAATGTCATTTAAAAATGCCAGATACCTTGAGTGTTTAAGTGAGACACATAATGTCACAATAAACCCAGCAAATTCCCAGCCGCTTTTGTCTTAGTATTCCCATATAACATTTTGTTTGTCGTAGCAAAAACTCTGCTTGAAGCAGCTGAAACATTTTTGGTGCGGAAAATAAAGAGATAATATTATCCTTTACTTTAATCAAATATGATAACCATGCAGTTCCTCAGATGCTGAATAATACTAACATTAACCCGGGGGATGAAGTTCTTGAGGTCCTTCATACATTTAAAGAGAATATAACAAAATAGGATGATCTGGAGGGAGTATAAATCTGTAGTGGAGGGAAGGAGGAGTAGGGATCGTCCTGTGGAGGGAGGAGGATAAAGGTTTTGTGTGCGAGAGGCTTAGACATCCAGCCACAATGTGTCAGCGTGTCATACGTGAGTGGAGGCAAGTGGTTTTTATGCCTTGACGTGCTGATGGAGTGTGAGCAAGGTAACATTTATGAAGGGATTCAGGGAAACCAGTTAACTGGACTTAAGCCCTGGAAGGTGGAAGTACAGTGGCTGCACTCTGAGGGATTTTAGTTTAATATCAACATTATGTACACTATACCCATCCTGTAGGCGATAGTCAAAAATATTACAGTGGTAGATTATGGGTTCAGGAACTGGGCCGCAAAGTTTTGATAACTGAACAAGTTACAGCGGTACTGAACTATTTAATGTTTATATCTGGTTACAATCGTAATGAGTATTTTATGCAGACATGAGTTAAGTCACACAAGGCACAGTACTCCTCTCCATCCTGTTCCTCATCCTTGTATCTGACATAGACAGGGATGTAAGCCACAGCTCAATCTCTTCCTTGGCAGATGACACTGACACTCTTCAGGTCGCTTATTCTATCTAAGCTGGAATATTGCTGCACACTAACAGCACCTTTCAAGGCAGGTGAAATTGCTGACCTAGAAAATGTACAGAGAACCTTCACAGCTTACATAACTGCGATGAAACACCTCAGTTATTGGGAACGCTTGAAGTTCCTCAACCTGTATTCCCTAGAACGCAGGAGGGAGAGATACATGATTATATACAACTGGAAAATTCTAGAGGGACTAGTACCGAACTTGCTCACAAAAATCACTCACAACGAAAGCAAAAGACTTGGCAGACGATGCAACATCTCCCCCAGTGAAAAGCAGGGGCGCCACTAGCACGATAAGAGACAACACAATAATATCAGGGGCTCAAGACTTTTCAACTGCCTTCCAGCATACATAAGGGGGATTACCAATATACCCCTGGCTGTCTTCAAGCAGGCGCTGGGCAGGCACCTAAAGTCAGTACCTGATCAGCCGTGTTGTTGTTACACCATGAGGCCTGGTCACAGACCGGTCTGCGGGGGCGTTGACCCCCGTAACTCTCTCCAGGTATACTCCAGGTATCGGCATAGGTTCCATAGACTGGTTAAAGTCTTATCTTAGCAATACGAAACAAATTGTCAAAATCAACTAAACAAAATCAGAAACCCTGCCGATAGCATGTGGAGCTCCCAAGGTAGTATTCTGGGTCCCTTATTATTTCTAGTTATGTAAACGACATGTCCATCAGTGTCAAGTGCAAACTCCTACGATATGCGATGACAGTGCTCTGTTAGCGTCAGATAAAGATCCAAAAGATGTGTAGCTAATGTATTAAACACTGGCACTGGAGTCCTGCAGCAGATGGTTAGTAGACAACAAACTATCGTTACACCTCGGGAAAACGGAAGCCATACTCTTTGGCACGAAGCATAAACTGAGAAGGGTAAATAATTTTAATGTCCGGTGTAATGGGGGACCTATCACTTCAGTTTCCTCAGTAAAATATCTGGGAATCCCCTTCGATCCATGCATGTCAGGATAACTGATAGGTAACAGTGTAGTAAGGAAAGCGATTGCCAAGCACAGTGTCTACCTACTGAGGCTCGCAGGACCCTATGTCTGGTATGTCATATGGTCTACGCTTGTTCTTCATGGTACTCTCTCTTGACAAAAAAATATGAAAGATAGACTGCAAATCACCCAGAACAAAATGGTAAGATTCATCCTGGACCTGGGACCAAGAGAACATGTAGGCCAGGATGAATTACAGCAGTTGGATATGCTGAATGTTGAAGACAGAGTAAAACAACTGAAGTTAAATCATGTTTATAAAATTGCTCACAAACAGTGTCCAGAATATCTTGCTGCTAGTTTTATCAAGGTTGGGAATCAAAGCAATCATAATACTAGAGGGAGAGAGCACAGCTTTGTAGTACCCACAGTCAGTGGCCAGGCTTCAAACACCTTTTATTGTACAGCAATAAAGGAATGGAACAGACTGCCCGCACATGTCAAAGCCAGTCATAGTATGAACCAGTTCAAGAAGAGAACCAAAAGGTGTCTGATGAATGTAGCGAGAGAAAGGGAAAAGAATGATTATTATTTTTTTTAGCTAACACACATGCAAATATAATTACTCCTTTTACCTTATTCCTAGTATATATCCTTTATAGAGTAATAATAAGATATTATCTCTTTCAGAGTATAATAATAAGGTATTAAAAGGACCTCCAAAGGACTTTCTGGGTTATTTTAGGTTCGCTACACATATGCTGCTATGTATGATAATCTACGTAACTGTATTCGTGTATATCTGAATAAATTTACTTACTTAGAAACCCTGATGTACATAATGGCCGAATAAGTAGCAGGTAACAATGTCCATCTCTTTTCAACTATTCTCAAAGACCTGTTATAGACAAATTTAGGCATACCATTCAAATGGAGCCGTACAGTAAGTTTCCCCTCAAACCACTGTGAATGTTCCTCCCCCCAGCACTCCCACCACATCAACCCTCCTCCCACAACCAAGGACCACCTGTGGAGGAGAACCCGATTCAAACAGCAACACAGACCAGCTGGGTAATAACGGCCCCAGTACTTGTACTAGACACTGGTGCACAATCCGTCGCCATGGAGGCAGTAAGCAAATTTATTCAGGTATACACAAATACAGTTACATAGATTATCATACATAGCAGCATATGTGTAAAGAACCTAGGATAACCTAAAAAAGTCATAGTGACTTAAGTGAAACAGAAGCTGACCCAAACGACCAATAGGGCTCCAACGCTGCCCAGAATGGAGTAGTTTCTGAGTTTCTAGATCAACTCGCTTTTGTACCTTTTCACGATGAGTCCCACTGTCTCCTATCTACAGAGGCATGGATATGTAGAGTTAGTGCGTGTAGTGAACGAGGTGTCCGACGCATCCCTGGTGTCAGAAGACGAGACTGACTCGTCAGCAACACTAGTAGCATTGAAGAGGACCAAATATTCTATACTCAGAAACCACTAAGGACTACAGGCCCCCTAGAGTCGAGTAGTGAGAGCATGCGCACACCTTGCAGCTATAACCTCAGACACCAACTCTCTGCACGCAGGCAACAACACAGGACACTTGAAATAATGGGGATGACAATTTTACAACTCAACATCAGACACTTCTTCAACAACCGCTACCTCCTAGAAGTTGAACTAAACAATCACAATCTGACCATCATCATCCTGAATAAGACAGCTGCCAGACCAAACCAACATATAAAACTGCTTGGTTACTCTACACTTGAGAAATCAAGAGGTTCGCACAGTAGGGTGGCCATCCTAGTGAAACAAGGATATGCATTCCGTAACATCTATGTTGACAAAGACAGCATCATAGCGATAGAACTGATTACCTCATATGGGCAGCTTCCCTAAACAGCAGAAATGTCCCAACAGTCATAGCAGGAGATTTTAATGCCCATTACCCCACTCTCTTCAACTGCAGCATCGCCCAACCGCTAGGTGACCTAAAGGGAAAACAGCTGTTCAATATAATGGCAGCAAGAAACCTATCGTTCCAAGGAACTTTTTTCAAGTCATATGTGGACCCTCACCCGGAGACTCCTAACGTAGTCCTTAGAGTTTTCCCTCGTGGAAATGTCGAATCAGACCGCATTCCTGTCGTAATAAAGCTCCCGACTTCGCCATTCCTGGTACTTGCTTCTCTGAAACCCAACTTAAAAACGTAGGCTTTGACCCTTTCAGAAACTACGTAGGCAATGACCATACTGTATCGTTTGAGAACCAGCCCTCAACTGCAATCAGCTCCCTCCACAAAAGAATCTTGAGGCTCCCCATAAATGCTGGGAACTATCAACATTGATGGTCTACCCAGAAGTACAAACCAACCAGGGAAATTAAGAACAGCTTTGAAAAATTACCAGAGTGTAGAAAGCATTACTAAGCTGGACAGCCCACTCGGGCTATACTGCAGGGATTATTCCTCCTAATCACCAACACAAAGCGAAATATAGAAATATATTGTTTCCA